TTATATGCAGCAGTTTCTTGGAAGTAACAGAGGAATGATATGTCACATGGAAGATAACAAAGAAAATAGCAAAGTAACTGCTAAAAATCCTGAAAGAGTTACATTGAAAACTGAAGTGAAATGCCATGGATGTGGTGAGTACTCTCAGACAGACACTGGACAGAATTTTGGAGATGAAGAGCATGCTGCATGTAACACACAAAAGTTGTGTAGTGGGTCCTCAGAACCTCCAACTTTACAGGATAGGGAAGAACCAGTTTATAGAAATACTGTCAGTGCTGTTCCGGAGCACAGAGAGGAACCTCTGGTTGGAGAGCCTGCTTTAAATTCAAAGGAAACAACTGTAAATGCTGTTTCCGAATCTCGTAATGAAAGACCAAATTATACAGGTCAGCAGGAAATGAAAATATACCTAAATTAATCAGTCTTCCTCAACGTGATATTCAGGTAAATTCTGAAGTAGCAGGTTATATTTCTCATGTGAATAGTCCGTCAAGTTTCTATGTTCAGTTTGCAGAGGATGAAAACTTAATAATACAACTAGCAAAAGAGTTAAATGAAGCTATGAAGAGCATAGGTCGTGAAAATGGCTTAGATGAGCCCATGGTAGGGGACCTTATTGTTGCAGAGCATGACACTGGTGGTTTTTACTATAGAGCAGTTATTAAAGCTCTGAAATGGAGAAACTGTGTTGAGATAGAGTTCATTGACTATGGTTATACAGCAGTTGTAAGTCCTTCAAAAATCTGCAGGATTCAGAGAAAATTCTTAACTTTGCCGAGGCTCAGTGTTCATTGTTTCCTTAGAGTAAAAAGTGAAAGCTGGACTAATAAAAGTACTTCCTATTTTGTAAGCAAAACAATTAACAAGCCAGTCACTTGCAAGTTCTTACAGCAACATGGAGAGCAGTGGGAAATAGATGTAATTTGTGATGGAAAATCTGTGTCTAATGACCTGCAGAAAAAAGGCAGGACAAGGTGGCAAAAACCACCGATGCATAATCAGGAAAACAGGCCAAACCAAGTTCTGGTTAAAAGTAGTAATCCTCAAGATAGGAAGTCTAGGAATGGCTTAATTGATCAAAGTAAAAAGAAGGCTGTTAGGATGAAAAGCACTTTGAAAACACCCTTAAATGTCCTTCCTCAATGTCTAAGTTCTGGACAGGTAGAAGGAGCAGAAGTAGTTAATATTTTAGAGAGTGGAGAATTTCATGTACAGTTACTTAGAAATGTGGAAGTACTGCATGAGTTAAATGTGGTGCTTGTCAAAGAAGCAGAGAGATGTGATTTGCTTAGAGTGGATGACATTGAAGAAGGATTAGAATGCATGACAAAATCTGAAATTAACTTGGAGTGGTATCGGTCAAGAGTGGTAAAGAAATTTGTCCAGGAGAAGTTAATGCTAGTTTTTTTCATGGATTATGGCAAGTATGAGATGGTGTCATTAAATAATGCGAAGATGTTCAGTGATGAGATTAGAAGTATTCCTAAACAAGCTGTGTTTTGTAAATGGGTTTGGTTTAAGAAAATGAAGAAAAATCAGTTTGTCCATGTGGTAAATGCACTCCTAGATCATGAAATTAGGATCTTGTTTTTGAGATACTTGGAATGCTCTCATATGTGGGAAGTAGATATTTTAATAGGGGAAATTCTGCTTCAGGAGTATTTGGACCCACTATTAAGTCATTGTCAGACTATTGATGGACCAGAAAAATCCAGTAATACAGATTGTAAGGAGTGTGATACATCATTCAAAAGAAATTCGATCACATGGTTGCTGCAGAGTGGCAGAAGGTATGCTGGGTTTGTAACTGCAGTTACTGATCCTTCAAACTTCTGTGTCCAGTTTGAAAACTTATTTGGTTGCATGCAGAACTTGTCTTTGCTGCTCTCTGACCTTCCTGACAACTTGCCAGCTTTGCCACAAGAACTTGTGGCTCCTGGCGCTAGCTGCTTGATCAGGTTTGGATTGGAAGCACAGTGGAACAGGGCAGAAATCAGTGAAGTAACAAGTCAGTCTGTTGTTCTTAGATTTATTGATTACGGCTTTCTGAAGAGCATCCCTTACTCTGATATCCATAAACTTAAAGTCATAACAAAAAGTCTGTCTTATTTACCACACTTGGCACACTCTTGCTCTTTACATGATACAGTTCCTGCCAAGGGGGAATCCTGGAGTGATGAAGCTAAACTTCTGTTCCAGAAGCTTCTTAGTAATGCTGGTCTGGTATTTCATTTTAAACATTATGGCTCTGAAATGAAGTTAGAGGTGGATGTTCTGCACAAGGAGAACAATCTAGCTCATGCCTTAATTGCTGCTGGCCATGCAGCCTGCTCTAGAAGTAGGTGCTGTCTTATTCCGGTTGACAGAATTAAATCAGAAAATACAGATCTACAGGCCAAGCATCCAAATCCTTGTTACTGTGCTTCCCTTTGTGAACCAGACTATAATTATAACAAAACCTCTATTTTGCTGACAGAAATAAAGCAAGAGAGTGAAGCAAAAAAGATGGTATCCAAACCATAGGATTATCTGTGATAAGTTTCAAATACGGAAGTCTGGTAAAGTGGGTGCTGGAATATCATTAACAAGGGATCTGAGTTCATATATAACACTGCAAGAAAAAGATGCAAAAGATGGACAATACTGTGAAGAAGTTGGGTTTTTTTCAGCACTGTGATTAGAAAAGTAAAATGACAATACAGAATAAATCTGCTACCAGAAGCACTGGTTGAGACTTGGGATTCTATGCTCCACAGTCTAGAAAGACAGTGTGTGAAGATACTATCAAAAAGATTTGAATAGTAAGTAGAGACTGCAGTTAGGAAAGTACTGCTGCAGTTTGTTTAAAAAAAAAAAAAAAAAAAAAACCCAAACCCCCCCGGGGCCCTTCCCCCCCCCCCCCCTCCTCTTCTCTCTCTCTCTCTCTTAAGATCTCTTGATATATTTATTTATTTAGACAATCATGGTTTTGGCAAACATTGCTGCAGGAGTGCTTTACAATTTATGTGTGTGTATATACATATATATAAAACTTTATTTGTCGTAACATCTGTTTTACACTGGTGGTGTTGCCTCCTTGTTTTGAATGCTCAGAAAACAAATATGTCAAATGTATTCTTCTCTTTGTTCCTAATTACAAAGTTTCCCTGTGAGTATCTTTTCTCTTGTTAGGAGAACATTTGCTAAACAATAAGCCAAAACCTTTGGATCCCCATTTATGGGAGAGATGCTCATTAGGTGGTTTTCATTTAGCTCTGGGTGTAAAGATGCCTTTGACCTGTCCCATGGTTCTCTCGCTGAGTTCCATCACAGTTGGGGTTGTTTTCTTTGAGTGGCCTGTGTTCTATCCTCCATCCTTCCCACCCATCTGTCACAATGAAGACAAGAAGTTTTCTCCATGGTTTAGTCATTGTATCTTGAAGAGAAACATTCAGAGCCTGTTTTTTGTTTAATTTTTGTGGCAGGTGGAAATTTTGTAACTGAAAAGTGATGGTATGCTGCATATGTCCCAGAGCTTTTCAGTAACCATTTTGAAATTATAAGAATTTGTTAGATGTTTCTCTGATTTTTTTTTTTCTTGTTATTTTTAACTTTCCATTTCCCCCATGCCTCCTTCCTCAGTTGTTGGGACAAAGATAAGCATGAAGAGGCCTGAAGTGTAAGGGGTTTTCTTTATATGGCCTGCAATTGTTTGAATTTAAATTAATTAAAAAAACCAAAAAACCAAAAACCAAACAACCCTAATGATAGACAGTATATCTAATGCATCTCTATTTGAAAGTAAGATCTAAGGACACCCAGCCCTGCATATCATGATGTATTTAATTCTAGTGAAAACTTGAAAGCTTTCATCTGAAAAACAGATTCCTTTTTTTATTTTTGAAGGAGATATGTCCAGGAAGTTTGAATAAGTAAGAGATAAGACAGTGACAGCTGATGTTTACAGAGTTAGTTCTGCATGCAAGTGAAAGATGCCCATTAGTAAATCAGAAGATGCATAAGAGAAAATTCTTAAGTAAATATTAGCTAAAGAAGTCATGTTAATGTATTGATTAAATGGAAGGGGTTTTTGTAACCATTTGTGATTAAGTTTTCTTTATATTGCAACATTTTAATATATTTTTGCAGAATTTTAAATTCTTCCTAGTTAAAATTACAAGCTTACCTGACATGTTAAGTAATTCCCTGGGCTACCTTCATTGTAGTGTCAAGTAATACTTAGTTTTCATGCAGAGGCACTGACACCTAAGGGTTCATTAACTTTGATTCTGTCTTCTGGCTATCATTCAGTTGGAACAGCAGGTGCTTGGGCATCTTTTCTTTTTAAAAATCATATGGGTACCCTAAATGCAAGTTGTATATTAATATTACACCAACAGGACTGGCAAATTTTAAGTTAGGTTTGTGTTTTGTTTTCTTCTGTATTTTTGTTTGGTTTTTTTGTTTTTTTTTGCTAATGTATATTGTGCTTTAAGTTGTGTATAGTTGTAGAACACTGCTTGCTTAATGTTACAAAATGGAGCCCAGAAATTATGATGATTAAGAAAAAATAGCTTTGTGTGTGCTATTTTTGTTTTGCAAGTTGCAAATGTTAGATTTATTTGCAAGAACGTGTGTGTTATTCTCAACTCATAATGAGTCTAGCTTGCGATAATAAAGTATTTCCTTTGCTGAAGGTCTGATACCCAAAGTGCTTAAGGTAAAAAATAGATAATTGAAAGCATTTTCAGGATTATGCTGCATCTGTAAATATATTATATCTTTTGTTGCCACCATTGACATGGATTTTCAGAAGTGCATTGCAAGCTTATGTTATGGGTTTTAGATTACATTGCTGGGATGTCTGGCTATGGATTTTTTTTCCCAGTCACCTTTCTCTGGTGTGTACTTCCCCTGCCCTTAACCTGAGCTCTAATAGCATTTTTTCTTGTAAGTAGAAGAGGCTATACTTGTAATCTAGTTGAAAAAACATGTAGTTTATTTAGGATTTGGAAGTTTAGGTGTGCTATCCTATTTGTTACTGTGCAAGTATAATTCTGAGCAAAACCATTACTGTGATTTGGTAAAACTTCAATAGAAACTACTGCTTATCATTTGGTTGTATTTACTAAATGTATTTCTGTATCGTTTGTACTGTGTCATTGATTACTTTATTTTTACTTTTTTTTAATCCGTGAAAGTGATTGAGAACTGGTTGCATTTGTTTGGAATTAAAAATGTTCCTGTGTATATTGATATATTCAGTATTCTGCCTTTTTGTCGTGAATAATAAAATGCTTATTGTCCATCTGTAACTTGCCATGCCTAAGTTACTCTGAGTATTTTGAAGCTTTCTGTGACCTTTCTGGTTGGCGAACACCTTGGAAAAAATCTAAAGCTACATCAGTATGTTCTTTGTGGGACAGTGCCAAGGAACATTCCTGGCCCTCTAGGTAGCAGCTGTGGTGTGGATTATCTCTTTCCTGTGCTGCATCAAGGTTTGCTTTTGAGCACGGTATGAATGGCACCAGCTTTCTGCCCATACAGATTTCTAGATGAGATGCATACCATGGTTTGTCTTTGTCTGCTTTGTGCTGGTCAGATGTACTGTCTGTGAAGGCAGCCAGGCCTTCACATGCCAGATAGGCACGCTGTTATAATACCATTACTTAAAATGTTTTTAGATTTGTATGCAGTTACTTTGAGAAATGTTTTCCATTATTTACTTCTAAAGATATCTATTGCTGAAGATTTAAACCATATTAAAAATATTACTTAGATGTTTTTCTAATGTTCTGGCATTTTACAGTGTTCCATAAAGCTCCCCTTATACTAGCAGAGTGGTATAATGGGAGCACACGGGACAAGGGGATGTGTGTATGTAATTTTTATTTTATTTTCCCAAGGGAGCTTTATGATACTGTAACTGTACAATAAGATGCCTGAGTTTTAGTAGCTTTCCAATACCAGAGCAAGAGAATAATCTTGTTTATGCTCACATGGTATCTTCACCCCTGAATACTTTTCACCAGCCTCCCAGTTCCCATCAAAGGCCTTGGCTAATTAAGACACCTAGTGCTCTGTCAAGACCCTTTGCTCATGCCTCGTGAGCCGGGTGATGTTCTTAGTCCTTATGGAGGAGAGAAGAGGCTGAGGGAAGAGCATATTGGTCCTTTGGTACCTGGTTATTCAGCTGATGTTACTGACACGAATTTTGGTTTTATGGCAGTGGGATACTCTTTGATAATTGAGGACTGCTGGGGAAAGATGGGATCCACCTGACAAAGCGAGGAAAGGGCTTACATGCCAACAAGCCAGCTGATGTTGTGTGGAAAACTTTAAACCAGAAGAAGTGAGGGTGGGGAATGCAACTAAGGCTTTACCAAGCTGAGGAGAGAATGGAGGACATAATTTACCTAGACTTCTGCAAGGCTGTCAGCATTCTATCATAATGTTCTTGCATCTGGGGTAGGATGTTACTCTCTGGATGGGTCAAGAACCAGGTGGGTAAAAAGCTGTTTGGATAGTTGGGTTCAGAGCATAGTGGTTAATGGGATATGCTGTGTCTGGAGGTTAAGAGTATTGTTAAGAGGTGGGAGTACTATCTTGTGTCCTATCTTACCCAACATCTTTATCAGTGGCCAGGAGGAGGCAACGGAGTACTTGCTCGTCAAGTTTGAACACTATACCAAGTAAGGAGGGCCAGCTGACACACCTTGAGGATCCCAGGCTGCAATCCAGGGAGAGAAGCTGGAGGAATGGGTCAGCAGAAGTGCAGTGAAATGAGGCAAGACCAACCAGCCATAATTGAAATGAGAGCTTTAGACTGGAAAGCAAAACCTTTTTAGAATGAGGACAGTCAAGCCTTGCAGGAGGCTGTCCAGAGAGATTATATAGTCTCCATCCTTGGCAGGTTTCAACACACAACTGGATAAAGTTCTGACAAACCTGGTCTGACTTCACAGCTGACCCTTCTCTGAGCAAGAGGTTGACTAAGTGAAACTCGAGGTCCCTTGCACTTGAATTATCCTGTTACTGCTGCAGCTACTCTTCATACCTTAGTATCTGTCAAACCCTTTCTTTTGGAATGAAGCACATGAAAGTCCCTGAATCTTATTTTAGCACATGGCTATCCATTTTCACTCAGGCTGTCTCCATTACCTGTTTAAGTGTCAATGGCAAATTAATGAGGACTACATAGGTATTCTGCTTGGCTTTCTACAGCCGTGGCTAGAAAGTTCCATTGAGGAGAGCCTTTGCAGAACCAGCTTGTGTTTATAGAAAGAGACTGTTAGGACAGAGGTGTCCCAATAGGTTGAGGTACACAGCCTGTCAGCCTGCCAGGTGGTGTATAATTGATAGGTTTATAATAGATAATTGAGAGGTGGCTTTGGGAAAAGAAGTTTAACTCCCTCCTTTTGTCTTTTCCATCCTCTGCCCTTCCCTTCCTCTCCTAGATGTTTAAAGTGTCTCTGTAATTCCTTTGCTGTAGGCTCACCAGTGTGTTTGCCTCTTTTACCAGCTGTCTGTAATGGTGTACAGGT